TCACTCGCCAACAACAATAGCAGTTTTTTCCTGCAAAAATCAAACACTGCTCTCGCCGTGTCACCACCAGATCCCCCGCCTTCCGATTCCCTTGCCGAACGGCTCGAGTCTGGCCGCCACACGCCAACCAATGACTTTACACACCAGCCGCTAGTTTCTCCAATCTCTGAGCCCGAGCCACGAATCTCGACAGACACCGTGCAGAGCCAGAACTTTTCTCGTCCGAGGAAACTCAGCCTCAAACAACCGACCCTCGACTCGGCCAAACCCCGACAAACGCTCTTCCCTTCACCATTCGCCCCTCCGCCCGACCTTCTGCCCGAGCTCGCCTCTCCCCGCGACGGGCGTTCCAGAGGCCAGTCCAACGCCTCCACAAAAACCTCGTCCACCTTTTCGTCCGTTCCCCTACCTCCTGGCAGCGATATCTACGACCCCGGCCGCTCGAGACTGCGGCATGCCACGACGGCCCCGGCGGCAGTGAGGCCCGCTCCATCCTTTACCCAAAACCGCATCGACAGCGTGGGATCCGGCTACACCCGCGACATGGCCCCGTGGATCAGCGCTGACGAGTCAAGATCAAGTTACAGATCCCAACTGACAGCATCAAGCGCCCAGGGCACCTGGATGACGGAGAGGAGCAGCATCCTGACACGAGACAGCTCCGTACCATCCGTGTACGCAGGCCCTGACGAGCCCAGCCTCGAGGACGTCATGGGCATGTACGAAAAGGGTTTTCACGACGACTCGAGCCCAGAAGACATTGACGATATGCATTTTCACGACAAGAGAAACGACGGGGCCATGAACAGGAGGAACACACGGATCCTCGAGGCTCTTGAGAAGTCGTTGCCCGCGCCCCCGACATCGGGTCTCGGGATGGGCCCCCTGGTCCGGGAATCGGCCGAGATGTTCCGCGGCGAGGAGCCGCCGCTTGCTCTGCCCAAATCATCGACATTTGGGGACTTTAACAAGCGACACGAGAACGAGAAGCGGGACTCGGCCAAGTCCCTTCACGAGTCACCACCCTCACGGCAGAGCCCAGTCCCGATTGAACATGAAGATCCCGAGTCCAGGGACAGATATGGCTTCCGCAAAGCCAACCAGTACGTCACGCGAGAGCAGTACGATACGTGGAACACGGGCTACGTCGAGTACCTCGCCCGCCGACGGAAGAAGTGGGTTGCCTACCACAAAGAGATGGGTCTCTTGACGGACAAACCCGACCGGTTCCCTCCACCCGCGAGCACCAAGACAAAACGATTTGTCCGCAAGGGCATCCCACCCGACTGGCGAGGCGCTGCCTGGTTCTATTACGCCGGGGGGCCTGCCATCTTGGCCGAGTATTCTGGCGTCTATGACGAGCTTCTTACGAAGCAGGTCAGCGCTGTCGATGCCGAGGCCATCGAGCGTGATCTCCACCGCACTTTCCCCGACAATATCAAGTTTAAGCCCAACAATCTCTCGAACAACACGGACTCATCGCGAAGCAGCAACCAGACAACATCGGAAACGGCTTCGAGTGGCGGCGAGGACGGCGAGCCGCGCATGATTTCCTCTCTGCGGCGGGTCCTCCGCGCTTTTGCCATTCAGAACCCTCTCATCGGATACTGCCAGAGCCTCAACTTTTTGGCCGGCTTGCTGCTGCTATTTCTCGAGACGGAGGAGCAAGCCTTCTGGCTGTTGAACGTCATCACGCGGGTATACCTTCCCGGCACGCATGCAATGAGCCTCGAGGGCTCGAAAGTGGATCTCGGCGTGCTCATGGGCGCCATCCGCGAGTCCATGCCAGCGGTCTGGGCCAAGATTGGCGATGAGATGGACGGAGACCCAAACGAGTCGCGGCCGACGACGAGTGGAGCTTCAGCCGCGAAGAAGGCTAGGTCGAGGCGCAAGCACATGGCCAACAAGTCCGTCTCGACAGACAGGCTGCCGCCCATCACGCTGTGCATGACGGCATGGTTCATGAGCTGCTTTATCGGGACGCTACCGATCGAGACGACGCTGCGGGTATGGGATGTCTTCTTTCTCGAGAGCTCCAAGACGCTCTTTCGCGTGGCTTTGACCATTTTCAAGCTCGGCGAGGCGGAGATCAAGGCCATTGCCGATCCGATGGAGATGTTTTCGGTGGTGCAGGCGATGCCGCGACGGCTCATTGACGCCAACGCACTGATGGAATCTTGCTACAAGCGACGCAACGCCTTTGGGCATCTCAACCAGGAAACCATTGACGCGTTGCGACAGGAGAGGCGGGACAAGACGCAGCTCGACCGGGACAAGCTGGCGGGCCACGTTACGGACGGCGAATCAAAGGTGCGACGCAAGAATACGCTTTTTGGGCGGCGACCCAAGCGGGACGCAAGCGCATAGGCTTGCTTTGCCGAGTGGAACAAGACATGTAATGAACGCTACGGCATAGAGACGACTCGTTTGCATACGATGGCATGGTGTTTTGGTGTTGCATTTAAGCCCGGAGGAGGGAACGGGGCGGGAAAAGGATGCATCTTGTTTCTTTTGTCTTTTCAGGTCATGGGTCAGGTGTCACATGGTCACGCCCGATAGATACGCAACTGGTAGCATTCAAATGACATGAGGTTTACCGTGGCCGCTGTTTCGCCTCCTCTTGTCTGGGATCTGCAACAAGCTCGCTTTCGTTTGTCCACCCGGAAAGGCCGGAGCCGCGCCCCGGAGTTAGCATCGGACAATGCAGGCAACCCACCAGCAGCACACGACGACCCGGACGGCAAGAGGGACCCGACTGGCAGTCAGGCACTGCACTGCTTATTGTCCGGTCGCTGCTGCGCCTCCCATGTGGGTTTCGCGGTGGGAGTTCTCCGAGGACGTGTGCGTGCCTTGCGTGTCTACGCGTGCCTGCCTACCTCCTTACCTTACCTACCTAGGTACTACCTACCTATGTCGAGACTGACTTAGCCGCAGCGGAAGGTACGTAACTTCAGTAAGCACGCTCGACGACGTCCCAATCTTTGTCTGTCCACACCTCGTTCGTCTCCCGTCATCCCACACTTCGAGGCATTTATTTACTGGAGGCATTGAAATTTCCATCGCCGTGTTTTTTTCTCAGTTGGGCGGCGTTGCAGCACTCATCATTGGCCTGCCTTGGTGGTACTCGTCATCTACGTCAGCATTCAGCCTCAAATCGGCCAGGCTAGACATTGTCCGCTCGAAAGGGCAGCTACCAGACAGTACTCAGTCTCTCGTCACCGGCTCCTCAATCCTCGACTGTATCGAATGCCAATTGAAGCCGCTCACTGGCGTGATCGGCTCTTTTCTACCTCTTTCTTGTCTCTCACGGCTCCGCGGCACGCCACCCACCGCCATGAGCAGGCTGACCTCGTGGTTCCGGCCCTCGGGCGCTGTAACACCAAACAGCACCCCCGACGGCGCCTCAAACCCTAGCACAGACCAGGATGTCGAAAAAATGTTTCGTGCGACGGACAAGATGCTCATCATGGAGGATGCTCTCGCCGCGGCAGGTCTCATGATGAACGATGACATTGACGGTGCCGTCGAGGCTCTCGGCAAGAATGACTCGGTATTTCACCTGCTCGGTCTCGGCGTCACGCGCTTCATGCGATCGGTGCTCGGCTTTGAAAAGGACGTCATGGCCGAGGCGTCCTCGACCCTCGCCGAGTGCGAGACGCGCGCCTGGAGCGACATGAAGACGGCCCAGCGCAAGGCTGAGAAGCACAGCACCGTCTACCCGCCCGGGACAGAGTACTCGCTCGTCGTCGCGCAGAGTCAGCTCATGTCGGCCGTCGTGTCCGTGCTGCACGAGAGCTTGACGGAGGGCCTCAAAGGTTTCTACAAGCTGAGGAAGGCCTACGTCAGTCTCGACGCCATCATCCAGGCCGAGGACAAGGTTCTGGGGACTTCAACGCGCCAAGTGCCTCCTCTGGAGAAGACGGCCACCAACGAGCAAATGCCCGGCAGCTTTGACGATGACGAGTTTGTCGATCTGAGCGCTGCCGCCGACGACAGTGACGAGTTTGTCGACGCCAAGGAGACGCCGGGGCAGTCTGGTGCGCAGACGCCGGCGGACCTCGAGAAGGACTTGCAGAAGCTCCAAGTGCAGGATGGCAAGACACAAGCCCCGGTCACGAAGCCTCTGGACAGGCCCTTGCAAGACGAGCCTCTAGAAAAGCTTCCTCGGGACGATAAATCGCAGACGACCACACCGGACGCCGGCGACGCTGCCCTCCTGACGAATCCTCTCGACATTTTTATTCACTCGGGCGCCAGCATGTGCTTTGGCCTGCTCCTCATCATTCTCAGCATGGTACCCCCGGCAATGTCCCGTCTGCTTTCCATCATCGGCTTCCGTGGCGACCGTGCCCGTGGCGTGCGTATGCTTTGGAGCGCCACCCGCTCCCGCAACGTTAACGGCGCCGTCTCTGGCCTCGTGCTGCTTGGCTACTACAACGGCCTCCTCGGACAAGCCGATATCCTGCCTTCAGCTTCTGATGGGGCGTTTTTCAAGGGCAAGAGCGATGGCCGCGAAAAGGACGTCATTGGGATTCCCCGCGAGAGGTGTGCCGATTTGCTCGCCGACATGCGCATCCGCTATCCCGAGTCTCGACTGTGGCGGCTGGAGGAGGCGCGCGGCCTCTCGCAAGATCGCCGTTTGCGCGAGGCCCTCGAGGTGCTGTCGACGGGAGAGGAGGCCAAGATGCGCCAAGTCGCTGCGTTGAACGCCTTTGAGATGGGCCTCACCGCCCTGTTTGCCGGTGACTGGGTGCTCACGCGCGACACCTTTCTGCGGTGCCTCGAGCTCAACGACTGGAGCCACTGCCTCTACTACTACATTGCCGGATGCGCCGAGCTCGAAAGATATCGTGATGCCGTCCACAAGGAAACGACGAGCATGAGATTCGCCGCCGCAAGAAGAAGACGGAGGAGCTGTGGCGCAAGGCCCCCTCGGTGGCCGGCCGCAAGAAGTTCATGGCCAAGCCGCTGCCGTTTGACCTCTTTGTCCAGCGCAAAGTCGCCAAGCTGGAAGAGCGCGCCAAGGAGATGGGTGTCGATCTCGCCGACGCCGCTGCCAGCAGTCCCGCCTGGGAAATGGCCGCGTTGTGGTGCGGTATGAAGAGGATGAATCACGAGGAGCTGCGGCAGGCCGTGGCAGGCCTCGCTTGGGAGAGGTGCACCGCGAGCGAGGCTGGACTTGTCAAGTTGAAAGAGACGCCGGATGAAGTCGCCGTGCGCGCCGTGACGCTCGCTGGTGCGCTGCGATCTCTGGGCCGGCTTGACGAGGCGAGGGCGCTGCTCAAGGCGGATGCCCTATCGCAGGACCGGTAAGTTGTGTTTTGCGTCTTGTTGAATGTTTACTGACCGGTAAAGGAACCTCGTCAAGGGACCCCTAAAGGACGACTATGCGCTGCCCGGGGCACACTATGAGCTCGCCGTCATCGCGTGGCTCGAAGCCTGCCAGGGTGATGCGGCTGCCGCGGAGGCCGAAGAGAGGGCGCGTCGGACCGCCAAGGTTAAGGAGTGTCAGGAACATCTCGACGTCGTCATTGCGTGGGAGGCCTTTGTCTTTGATGCGCGTCTGGGCATGCGAGTGCAGACAGGGCTCGAGACGCTCAAGTGGTTCCGCGAGAGGATGGGATAGCGTTCAGCAAGCAACAAGGGAGCATGGGAAAAGGATCAAAATAAGTCAGCTGACCAGGCCGAAGCCTGGATGTGGGCGTTTGCAGCCCGGGTATCTACCGTACAATCCTACGTAACGCCGCGTCCGTCTAACGAGCACATCCAGCGGGGCAATCCACGACCAATTTTTTTTTGTGTGTTACTCGTCATTCTCCGGCTGGTCGTATTCGTCGTCGTAGTTCTCCTCGTACTCGTTGTAGTCCTCGTCGTATTCTTCGCCGTACTCTTCGCCCTCGCCACCTCCTTCGCCCTCGCCGATAGCCTCTTCGTCGTCGTCGTCGTCCTCCTCCTCCTCTGGCTCAATCTCCCGGTCGCGGAACGCATCACCAAGCACGCTGTTGGCCTGGCTTGTTTGCCCGCTGGCCGTGCCTGTGGCCGTGCCGGGCCCGCCGCCTGGGCCGCTGTTGAGGAGACTCGAAATGGCATCGTAGTTGAGACGCTTCGACATGCCGTGGTGCTTCATGACGTTCTGGGCAGCCTCGATCGGGGTGCTGGCGGGCGACGTCTGGGCCTCGCCGAGACGCGGCTTGTTGCGCTTGCGGGGCCGCTTGGGCTTGCCGGCCTCGAGCTTCCTGTCAAACTCGCGCTGCTGGTTCTTGCGCAGCCAGTCCTGGTTCTCGTTGACCCACACAATCTCCTTGAGCTTGACCTCCTCGGGCGACAGCAGCGCGTTCATGACCTCGACGTCGTCGGCAAACTCGTCCTCGAGGACCTCGGGCGCCATCGAGACGGTCTTGCTGGGCTCGTACTGCAGCGCCCAGTCGGCGTGGAGACGTGCGCGCTGCTCGGCGCTGGCGTAGGCTGCGGCATGCTGCATCGTCTCGGGGTCGTTCATGATTTCCGAGATCTGCTCCTCCATATTCTCCTCGTCGTCCACCCACTCCTCGTTGATCGGCAGCGGGTGTTTTGGCGGCCGGCCTTTGGCGTTGCCGGCGACACCGCGGGCCTTGCTCTTGTCGTCGCCAAACGCATCCACGAGCGCCGGAAAGTTGCTCTCGTCCTCGCCGTCGAGCTGCCCGTTGAGGACCCTGTCTTCAGCCGACGTCGGCTCGGGCGGCGGCACGGGCGGGATGAGATAGCCGTCCTTGTCGCGGAGGTAGGAGGCGCTCGGGCACGGCACCGATGACAGGTCGGGCCCCGTTCGGATCGGCGGTGGCGCTGGAGACTCGAGTACGCTGCCGTCGCGGTCTGAACCGTCGTCGCCGGTGGTGCGCTTGCGCTTGCGTCGCTTCTCCTCGATCTTCTTCTTGTACTCGTCCGAGTGGTCGGTAGAAGGAAGGCGGATCATGCGAAGGGGGTCCCGCGCTCTCCCAATCCTTGGTGAGAAAGTCGTCAATAGTCAGCTGACTGGCAGCCGTCTCGTTAAACTCCTTCATGCGCTCCTGAATCGTATGGCTCGTGACCTTGACAATGTAGACGACCTCGCGCATGGTACGGCGGAAGTTGTTCATGCGCGCGGCCATCAATAGGCAGGCACCGCAGATACCTGACGGTCGACGACCCATGATGATCCAGTCCCTGCGCATCGATGTGATGAGGCGAACGGCATCCTCGGCGACCTTGTCGGTCTGCGGTCCAAAGTCGAGCTTGGTCGCCAGCCGGTGAATGATGTCTTCGGGGAAAATGGTGCAGGCGAGACTGCCAATGGGCACCTTGTTGACGAGCGCCTTGAAGCAGCGGCCGAGACGAAAGACGTTGAGCCGCGTCAGGTCGGCGAGATCGAGCATCATGACAAACTGCGTCTCGCGCTCGTTGCCCTCGACCCTCTCCTGCGACCGAAAGGCGTAGTAGATGCAGGCGGCGCAGACCATCTGAAGGGTACGGCCCTGGGTAAAGCCCTGGCCCATGGCGAGCTTAAACGTGGCGACGGCCTTGTCGACAATGTGCGGGCGGGGATTGCCAGCGAGACGCCAGACGTAGCCGTGGATGAGGTTCTTGGCGTCAATGATGGTCTTGTCGCGCTGGCTCGAGCCGGCACCGCGACCTCCGGGGCCAAACGTCCGCGCACCGCCCTGGTCGGCCGAGATGTAGCTACCCTGCACCATGGCAGCACCGGAGGACGTCTCGCCGAACTGGACCTCGGCCACAATGTTGCTCTCCTCAGCGATGCGACCACACCCGTGGCAGATGCCGTCGACGACTTTGGGGTTCGTGCAGTGCTTGTTGGGACACTTGGGGCCCGCTCGAGGACACCATGGCCGACGCGCGTTTGTTCGCTGCAGCGGCGGCGGCGGCATCCTTGGCTGCCTTGAGTCGGGTCGCCTCGTCGCGCTGCACGCGAGCCATCGTCTCAGCGAGACCACGGGGCCGCTGGAACGGTTTGGTGGGCTTCCTGGCGGGAGGAGCCATTTTGAAGGCGTTGGAGGTGCCTCTGTGGGCTTTATTTTGATGTTTGGATAATGAAGAGAGGTATACCGATGAGTTTGCGTTGACCGATCAGGGAATCTGGCCGTATTCGCCCCCGTTCCTTCCAAGGCAGGCAGTCGCGGGGCGCTTGCCAGAACCGACGATCCTGACTAGTCGAAGAGCAACCAGAGTTCTCGGTCTGCGCGAGCTGAAAGTAATGCCTTTTGTTATCATGGAGCAGGCAGCTGCTTAAGATCGCGGTTGAGGTTAAATCGAGGTGAGGTTGGAGGTGGGCCAGCTCTGTGTGGCGGGAGCCCCAGTGGAATTTTCGCAGCGGGGTGGGCGACGAAATTTTGGTCGAGAGGGCAAGCGCGAGCATCCACGATGGGGATGAGTCAGCCATGGTGGAGGCATCGCGTTCGAGCCCGGATGGGATGAACGACACTGCACTTTGCTGCTGCCTGCCGAGGATTGACACGCATGTTCTACAAGAACGATCAATGCAATTCCATCGTCGTTCTTCATACGGATTACTAAATTACAGTAATTTCCATCGAGAAGCCTTGCTCATCAGGGCAGCTCCGCTCGACCGCCGACGCCCGACAGCCCAAAGCGGTATCACCGCCCCCCTCCCTCAGTGCCATCGACGGCTGACGGTTCCCTGGGCCGGATGCCGCTGGCTGTCATGGCGTCGGAGTCGGGGCGATCGCTCATTGTGATGAGTACCTCTCATGCGGGGCATCGAGTAACTCGTTCCCCTCATGCGGGGCACCGTACGCCCTTGTGCTCGGGCGCACGCCGTGGTGTCATGGGTGGATTCGCAGCATATAAGTCGGCGCAGTCCTGGGCCGAGTCAACTCTGGGCCGAGTCAACGTCATCCGTCAGATGTGCTTCAGATTTAACACGCCCATTCCTCCCCGAACTTACACGCTCGACACCCCAACTTCAACCTCGCCACCATGTCCTTCAAACTCGAGGCCGGCCCCGGCACGGATGTCTGGAAGAAGCACCCGTCCTGGGACGTCTATAATGGTAAGCACATTGTCAGATGCCACCGCGAACCCTACTGACCAGCAGTCCCCACGCACGCCCTCCCCAAAAAGCCGCTGACGTCCTTCCGCTCGGCGCGCCTGACGTTCAGCGCCAAGTGGACTGAGCAATACGACCAGGCCGGCATCCTCTTCACGCTCGAGCCGCGGAACGCCTCGGACGAGAAACAGAGGAGATGGGTCAAGACGGGCCTCGAGTACTACAACGGCACCCCGCAGCTGAGCACCGTCGCCTGCGATCGTTACGCCGACTGGAGTATCACGCCACTGTCTGCCGTTGGACCCACAGACGGCCCCCTGGATTTCGTCGTCGAGCGGAACGAGAGCGAGCACGGCACGAGCATCTGGATCTACTACGCACCGCCGGGAGGCAAGGAGCGCGTGGCTCTGCGCGAGGTCGGCTGGTTCTTTGCTGACGGCGCCGACTGGGACCTCGAGGTTGCCGCTTTCGCTGCGCGGCCGGCCGAGAAGACGGACGGCAAGCTGGAGGTGGAGTTTTCCGGGTTTGAGGCCAAGTGGGAATAGGCTGAGGGGACAGACAGCAGTTGATCACGAAAACCAGGACATCACGAGCAACATCAAGTGAGGCGGCCGAATTTCTCATTATCTCGCCCTGATGAGGGCTCAAGCCAGCCGGGGCGTCAGCGTTCCACTAGGGAGCCGCATGGCGCCCAAAATCATCAAGATCATCATCTCCTCCAATGTGACGAAGGAGACCGCTGCTGTATCGCAAAGCGGGTGTGCCAAGTACAGGCCGAGTGCCCGCCATCTCTTTCCGTGAAGAACAAAAGAAAACATGCCAGTCTGCTATCTTCAGAGATGCCGGGTTCCTATCCGCAGCGGGGGGGTTCGTCCAAGCGCCCCCCTTGCCGCTGCAGGAGAATGAAGAGAGTTGGGATGAGTCGTTCATCCGTATATGCCCGAACGACGGCAAGTGAGTGGCAATTTGTCAGTTCCGTTTTTTTTTGGGTACTTTTTGTGGTTGATTGCCGTGTTCGGCATGCAGCAGCAAACCCATTCGTAGTCGTGTTCCTAACCTGGGAAGCCCCGAGGAGCCAGAATTCCATGGTAAGGCAAGCCACTGCCCCAAATTCAAACGCCCCAGAAAACTGAGTACCCACGAAACAAGAACGGGGAGGCTTTGTGTCTAGGTCCCTCGCTCCCATGTGTCAGAACAATGAACGGCCCCCGAATGGATCGCCAATCTGACATGGGGGCCACAGAAGGAAGAACGCCAAAACGCCTGCCACCGTTCCGCTTTACGTCCCGGGGTATCACAATTTAGGGACAGTCCGAAGCATGGCTCGAAAAACACAGAGAACACACACGTAGCAGAGAACACACTTAGACAGTCTTGGGTGAACGGGCGTTGCTCAACGTCAATGACGTCGTCCAGGTG